GTGGGGGGGTAATGAGGACATTACCAACTTCAAGATGGAGTCAGACGGACTGTCCAGTGAGTGACACATACATACGTGCACACACACAGGTTTAATGTGTATATCTTTGTGTGTATGTTAATTTGTGTGTGTGTGTGTTTTCCAGTGGCATCTGTGACGTTTGATGAAGGCGGTAACAATGGTGGATCAGAGGAAGACACAGAAACTTACACCACTTCCACTCCCCTCGACATGCCCTCTTCCTCCCATCATCCCTCCTCTTCCTCCCCCTCCTCTTCTCTCCCTCCCTACCCCTCCACCCCTCTGGACCTGCCCTGCCCCTACCCCTCCTCCTCATTCTCCACCCCCTCTGCCTACCTCTCCTCCCCCCCCTCCCTCATGTCCTCGTCCTGTCCCAGTGCCATGGAGGGACCCAGTCCTGGCGGCTGGCTAAGCCCAGAGTCGAGGTGTGGTTCCGGGCATGACTCTCCTCTCCTCGGCCCCCGCTCCCAGTGCAGTGGAGCCTCCTCCCCAGACCCAGACTGCGACCAGGAAAGAGGTGTGTGTATGTGTGTCTGTGTGTGTTCCGGGGACTTTGTGTCTATAAATGTGATAATTGCTTGGATTATTGTTGGGCTACTGTTTATAGGATTGTATGTTAGAAGACAAGTTTATTCACCTTTAACTCTGCTTTTCTGTATGCGTTTGTGTGTGTGTGTGTGTGTGTGTAGGGGACAGAGCAGAGGGCGCGGAGCAGAAGTTGGAGGCAGGTCTGAGTAAGCTGACCCTGACAATAATACACCCACTGCATCCTGGGAACGATGACCCCAAGGATGACCCCAAGACGACTTCCAGCTTCGCCCCCACAACCCATATCCCCACCCCCTACCATCCTCCTGACCAACAGTGCCTAATGGACAGACGGCTTCACCTCTCACCTCTTACCCTTGGCCCTTGACTCATGACCTTTAAGCCTGAACTCTAACTCTGAGCCTTTCTATGAACTTCAGTCTGGACTTTAGTAACATTACAATGTGGTTTTGTTCACTCCAGGGACAAATCTGAAATCATACCCTATTCAATACATAGGAAATAAGGAATGGTGGCAATAGAGTGCCATTTTGGATCTTGCCCAGAAATGATCTGAAATAACCTGAAAGTGGAAATAAACTTTGGGATTGTGAGGGATCATAGCCAGGCGAGTCTATTGTCTACACCTTAAAATACTCAGAACGAAGGAACGGTGTGAAAGAGACATCACTTTGGCTGCATCCCAATTCTCCACAAAGGGTGCACTTGCACACTCCCTCTCATGGATTTAAAAGCTATGGATTGGTGTAAGCTGGGGGAGTTTCCACTATTGTGACATGTTGGAATGACCCTAGAGAGAGAGATGTAAATATGTTGAATCTGGGGATTCCCCAGAGACAGACTGTGACATCATGGCACTGAGCCCTGGACTTATGAGCTCCCCTCATCCCACAGCGTGTGTGAGGGGCAGAGGTTGCTGTGGTCTCAGCACGTGTGTGTGTTAGAGGAACAGCATGTTACTGCTGTTTTTCTCCCTCACAGAGACTGACTGGGATTGTTTGCATTTACTATGTGTTGTGTGCGTTTGTGTGTATCTGTGCGTGGTAGGTAGGGCGACAGTGTGTAGAGTCTGTTTCAGTGCAGTTGTAGTGTTGGTGTATTGCTCCTGTATGGTGTATGGGGAGAGTACAGCCTGACTCTGGTAGAGAGATATTCTATATTTATGCTCTCTGTCTCTGTCCTACACTATGTATCTGTTAGAATAAAACACGTCTGAGATGTTTGATTTCTTAGACACTGACGCACTGTGGCCTCACAAACAGGAACCTGACACCAGGCAGCCCCCCCCCCCCCCCCCAACACAAAGTCACCATTGTGTCACTCCCTCAATGCTAATGAATGTAAACAAACACTACCTGACACTACCTGACACACACACACACAAAAGCTGGCAAGAGTGTTTTCTTCCTGCTGCTCTCTCAGCTGTTGCAGTGTTATCTCATGACTTGAGTTAGAGCTCTGAGACTCCCTGCTGACAGAATGAGTTCAGCACACACACACACACACAGACAGGGTGCTGTGTCTCACACTTTTGAAAATACGTCATAATCACTGATGTGTGATTTGACCTGGCATACACATTAAACCTGGTGGTCCTCTGTAGCTCAGCTGGTAGAGCACGGCGCTTGTAACGCCAAGGTAGTGGGTTCGATCCCCGGGACCACCCATACAAATGTATGCACGCATGACTGTAAGTCGCTTTGGATAAAAGCGTCTGCTAAATGGCATATTATTATTATTATTATAAACCATCTCTCTCTCTCTCTGTCTGTGTGTGCACTCCTTTTCTGGGCCGGAATCCAACATGGATCTGCCTATCCCAAAGCAGTCAGTTATTCCTTGTCCCAGTCCTAAAAAGGCCTGACAGAGGCTGCACAACCTTATCAACAGGCTAGCCACAGCTAGGGACTGTATCTCAGCCTAGGCGATAAGGGCCTTAGCGGGCAATCCCCAGAGCCTAGTGTCTATGCTGCCTCACTCCTTCTCAACCTAACGCTTCCCGCTGTTCAGGTCAGAGCTTCCGCCGTAGACGCTTTAAGGATAATCTCTCCTGTCTGGCAAGGCCTAGATTAAATCCTTCACAGACTCCTACCAATGCACTAGTACTATAGCCTGGTCGTAGGTCCCTTTATTCCAGAAATTCTGATTAATTAACCATATTCTCAAAATCCTCAATCAAATTAATTAGAAACCTTAAAACAACAACATGCACTTGAATAAACTTTGCTTTGATGTTCCAAACCCGGAGTCATCAAAGAGTCATACAAGTCCTAGTTCATTACAAAAATGAATGCAAGCATAATAAATGTAAATTCAAGATACCCTCAGGGCTTTCACCTAAACCCCCCTAGGGCTACCCTAAGTCTATTATATCATTTTATGACAAACACTGTTAATAACAAGAAAAATAACAAGTCTTACCTTTTAAAACAATACAATAGTTTCTAAAGGTTTCTAAAGGTGAAAAAAAATGTAATCACACTACTGTAATAATACAACAATTATAAAAATCAGTCTTTAATAACAGCTCATTCATCCTATCCCCAACTGATCATGAACATCAATACCCCTACTAAACTCCTCTACTCCTTACATACCCCAACTTCATCATATTTGTTTTTAGCTCTCATAGTATTTTCCATAACATGTTTATTTCATCAACCCAGTCACAGTTTATTCATTTTCAACAACACTCGCTGCATGTTCTTTTATTTCATGAATACAGTCATAGTTCCATCCATTTAATCAACACTTCTCAATTCCTTTCTTTCCCATCAACTATCCAACCACTCTGTACTTTTGCTGTTGTATTTTTGTAAGTGTGTCTGTCTATGTAATATCTGGGCCCAAGCTTGTGTGTATTTAGGCTCTGGCAGACCTTATAAGGACTTCCCAATAAGTAATGTTTGTGTGTGCGTGTGAATGTGCACATGTACAGTGGCTTGCGAAAGTATTCACCCCCCTTGGCATTTTTCTTATTTTGTTGCCTTACAACCTGGAATTAAAATAGATTTTTTTGGGGTTTGTATCATTTGATTTACACAACATGCCTACCACTTTGAAGATGCAAAATATTTTTTGGGGTGAAACAAACAAGAAATAAGACAAAAAAAACTGAACTTGAGCATGCATAACTATTCACCCCCCCCCCCCCCCCCCCCAAAGTCAATACTTTGTAGAGCAAACTTTTGCAGCAATTACAGCTGCAAGTCTCTTGAGGTATGTCTCTATAAACTTGGCACATCTAGCCACTGGGATTTTTGTCCATTCTTCAAGGCAAAACTGCTCCAGCTCCTTAAAGTTGGATGGCTTCCGCTGGTGTACAGCAATCTTTAAGTCATACCACAGATTCTCAATTGGATTGAGGTCTGGGCTTTGACTAGGCCATTCCAAGACATTTAAATGTTTCCCCTTAGCAGTATGCTTGGGGTCATTGTCCTGCTGGAAGGTGAACCTCCGTCCCAGTCTCAAATCTCTGGAAGACAGAAACAGGTTTCCCTCAAGAATTTCCCTGTATTTAGCGCCATCCATCATTCCTTCAATTCTGACCAGTTTCCCTGTCCCTGCCGATGAAAAACATCCCCACAGCATGATGGTGTTCTCGGGGTGATGATAGGTGTTGGGTTTGCGCCAGACATAGCGTTTTCCTTGATGGCCAAAAAGCTCAATTTTAGTCTCATCTGACCAGAGTACCTTCTTCCATATGTTTGGGGAGTCTCCCACGTGGCTTTTGGCGAACACCAAACGTGTTTGCTTATTTTTTTCTTTAAGCAATGGTTTTTTTCTGGCCACACTTCCGTAAAGCCCAGCTCTGTGGAGTGTACAGCTTAAAGTGGTCCTATGGACAGATACTCCAATCTCCGCTGTGGAGCTTTGCAGCTCCTTCAGGGTTATCTTTGGTCTCTTTGTTGCCTCTCTGATTAATGGGGCTTCATAGCAAAGGGGGTGAATACATATGCACGCACCACTTTTCCGTTATTCATATTTTTTCAAGTTATTTTTTTCATTTCACTTCACCAATTTGGACTATTTTGTGTATGTCCATTACATGAAATCCAAATAAAAATCCATTTAAATTACTGGTTGTAATGCAACAAAATAGGAAAAACGCCAAGGGGATGAATACTTTTGCAAGGCACTGTAATTATGTGGTTGTGTATATGTACTGCGTGGGTGTGTGGCCATTAGCCTGTGTGTGCGTTATGCCAGCTGTGACCCTGAGTTTGTGTGCGTGCGTGAGTGAATATGCATGTGTTATTCTGTGTGTCAGATGTGAGTGTACTGCTGTAACCCTACCGATGAGAGATTACCAGCCTCAAGGTAGTATTTGTTCAACGAATGTTGAGAACTTTGGACTGAGTGACCATTGAACTCGTTGTACACATCGGTCTATAAGAAGTCAGAAGTTCCCGGGCACTGGTCATTCCACCATGTCCCTCCGTGTCCTCCTGGCAGTGGTGGTGTATGTTCTCTATCTGTCCCCGGTAACGTTAACCCGGGCTGGGGACAAGACAGAGGGGACTCCCGACCCATCCTACGTGGCCGCGGTCTATGAGCACCGGGTGATTCTGAACCCGGAGCCGCACGTGCCTCTGTCTCGGGACGCAGCGCTCAAGCACATGATGAGGAACCTGAAGGTCTATGAGGAGCAGGCCGCACGGGCGGCGGAACAGGTAAGGTACACCTGTGGGAGGGACTGGGAGATGGTCTTCTCTCTCAATTAACAGAACTAGATGTGTTAGTGCAGGGCTGGAACTAAGCCCGCACACCCTGCAGATAAGCTCTCCAAGACTGGGTTAGACTTGCCTTTGACAAGGAGGATACACCTTAATCTGAAGTGCTGGAGTTAATAGCTTTACAGCTCTCTTACCCCTTTCTATTGCCTGTTACTGTTTCATCACAACACGCACAGAGAAACAACCTCCACATCCCTCTCTATCTATCACTCTGTCTCTCTCTCTCTCTCTCTTTCTAATTCAAAAGGCTTTATTGTCATGGAAAGTGTTATACATTGCCAAAGCAAACATAGATACTCTCTCCGACTCTCTTCCAGGGGGCTCAGATCATAGTATTTCCAGAGGACGGTATCCATGGGTTCAACTTCAGTCGTCTGTCCATCTCTGGTTACCTAGAGACCATCCCTGACCCACTGACTGAGGACTGGAACCCCTGTACACAGCCTGACAGACACAATCACACTGAGGTATAAACACACACCTTTACTTACCATGTGGATCCATATCTAATGTCATCAAATGTCTGTGTTAATGTGTGTGTTCTGCCCTGTTCTCTCTCAGGTCCTCCAGAGTTTGAGCTGCATGGCTCGACGTCACCAACTCTACCTGGTGGCCAACATGCCTGACCTCCAGCCCTGCCCTCTGACCTCTCACCCCCACCTTGACCCCTCTCACCCCCCCTGCCCCCCCGATGGGCGCTGGCAGTTCAACACTAATGTAGTCTTCAGGTTGGTAGTACCTGTGCTGTTTCTGTTTTAAACACGTTTCTTGATCCTGTGAGAAAAGAATGCATTATACAGGGAGAGCTTCAGGTATTCCGAACTTCTCTTGGAATAGGGCAATTACATGATATTGCATTTGTATTGATTTCCAAAAGCTTTTTAGAGTTATACAGGAGTGACTTGGAATGATGTTTTTCCTTTATTGTTAAGAAGATACTTTAATCCAAAGCACACCCAACCATCAGCCATCAACCATTCTCTATAAGTCTTGAAAAATTTAAAACGTTTAATTAATAATTGTATTACTTTTACAAAAGGATTTGGGTTATATAGATGAACATTAATTTTCTTTTCCCATTCACTGCAGGTCTGATGGTTCCCTGGCGGCTCGCTACCACAAACAAAACCTGTTCTTCGAGAAGGAATTCAATACCCCGCCCAGACTAGAGGTGGTGACCTTTGACACGCCGTTCGCCGGACGGTTTGGGGTGTTCACCTGCTTCGACATCCTGTTTCACGACCCTACTGTCAGGCTACTGGAGCAGGTATACACACACCTTTTCCCACAATGTTTCATTATGGATCCAAATTAATTCATCAAAAGTCTGTTCATGTCTCTCTCTCTCCCCCCTCCCCCCCAGGAGGGTATCAGACAGATGGTCTACCCCACAGCCTGGATAAATACGCTTCCTCTACTAACAGCGGTTCAGTTCCAGAGAGCGGTCAGTCTGGGAGCTAACGTCACTCTGCTGGCGGCTAACCTCAGGCATGACAGCAAGGCCATGACGGGCAGCGGCATCTTCACCCCTAGTACTTCCATCTACCACCACGCCTTCCACCCCCCTGGGGAGCCAGAGGATGGGAAGCTGCTGGTGTTGAGGATACCTGTACTGGACAGTGACTGGCTGGCAACACAGAAGCAGGCAAAGGGGCAGGGGGAGACAGGAGGAGAGGGTGAGGCAAAGGGGCAGATAGGAGAAGAGGGTGAGGCAAAGGGGCAGATAGGAGAAGAGGGTGAGGCAAAGGGGCAGGGGGAGACAGGAGAAGAGGGTGAGGCAAAGGGGCAGGGGGAGACAGGAGGAGAGGGTGAGGCAAAGGGGCAGGGGCAGGGGGAGACAGGAGCAGAGGGTGAGGGTGAACCTCTCTCTGCCTCTCTTCCTACCCTCTCTCCCAATCCCTCCCCTTCCACCTCTCACTTAATCTCCTCTATGATGTGTGACCCGTTCTCCTTCGTCCTGCTGCGTGGTTCAGAGGGTCAGCTGACTGTGTGTGACGGTCCCCTATGCTGCCACCTGCAGTACCGACGGTCCCCACAGGGTGGCAATACGGAGCTCTATGCTCTAGGGGCGTTCGCTGGCAATCATACGGTTTATGGACGCTTCGCCTTGCAGGTAGGGAGAAACATTTACATTACATGCATGCATTACAACCAGGGTTAGGGTCAATTCCATTTAAATTCCAGTCAGGAAGTACACTGAAATTCCAATTCCAATTTTATTCAATGCTTCTTAATGAGGAAAATTCTGAATTTGGTTTACTTTCTGAATTGACTGGAATTGAAACAGATTTTTCACCTAGTCGTCTCATGGCATTAATGATTAATGATTAACCCCTCACCCTCCAGGTGTGTGCGTTGGTCCGCTGCTCGGGGTCGGAGGTCAGCTCCTGTGGAAAAGGAGTGGAGGAGGCAGAGTCTAGAGTGGACTTCCGGTTGGAGGGGAAGTTCGGAACGCGTTACGTTTACCCGTCTATGCTAGGTAGCGGCATGGTTGTAGATCGACCCGACCTGATCGAGAAGACCACAGATGGTCGAGTGGCCATGGAACACTCAGGGATGACCGTCGGGCTGGTGACCGCATGTCTCTACGGCAGGGTATACGACCAGGACTAGGGTGTGAGAGAGAGAGAGAGAGAGAGAGAGAGAGAGAGAGAGAGAAAATAAAGAAAATAAGTTTCTGTCATTTAAAATGACACCCTTCTCCCTTTAAAGTGCACTACATCATCACTGTTCCCTATAACCTCTGTAAGTCCAAGCCGAAGGGGGGGGGGGGGGGGGGGGGGGGGGTGGAAGCTAGGTCCAGTTTTTTTATTTTGAATTTTAGGACCCCTTTAGATTAAAAAAATTAATATAGAAAATATTATTTGATAAAATATTGAATTTGGCCTTTACTAATATAGCCCATAGAAACACATTGAATAACATTCAATGTAATGCAGGTGCTTCTACACCTGCATTACTAGCTGTTTGGGGTTTTAGGCTGGGTTTCTGTACAGCACTTCGAGATATTAGCTGATGTAAGAAGGGCTATATAAAATAAAATTGATTGATTGATTGATTGAATGGCAAAAAAAAGACAGTAAAAAATAAATCATAAGGAATAAGGTTTTGAAGTCTGTCCAATATCTAGGTGATATAAGAAAGCTATATATATATTTATTGTTATTTAATTTAATTTAAAAAAAAACATATTTAACCCCTTTTTTGGGTAGGCACAAAACTACCTCCATACTTCCATTCATTTTTTTAAACCGGTACCGGTTACCTACAGACAAGTCCCGTGACACTTGTGGGGGTCGTAGAATAAAACACAGGTGTTCTCTGAACTTGTCTGTAGGTAACCGGTACCGGTTTAAAAAAATGAATGGAAGTATGGAGGTAGTTTTGTGCCTACCCAAAAAAGGGGTTAAATATTTTTTTTTTTTTAAGTCTACCCTTTCCATAGAGTGGTAATAGTTTTTTACGCCAAACCGTTTGGACGACCGATTTTCAGGATGTCTCATGGTCTGAAAAACACTGAGTAGCTCCGCCACCTTCCACCTCAGATGCCGAAGGCCGCCATATGTGGATGTGGAGGATTGAGACTCAGCCCATGCAAAAAAAGATCTCTAGTTTAAACTGACGGATTTTGATGGGGATTTTTTATTACGCACCAGTGCATCAATCTACTCTAGGGGGTTTCCCTATAATATAGTTGAATACAACAGGACACATAGGCGCTCCTAGTGGCCGGTGATTTTAATGCAGGAAGACTGAAATCCGTTCTACCTCATTTCTACCAGCATGTCACCTGTGCAACTAGAGGAAAAAAACCTCTAGATCACCTTAGCTAATTTTCTCCCAACATCGGACACCCCCTAACTTCGGACATTCTCTAGCGGTTGGAGGACTAAATCACCTCGAGTTCAACATTTAAACGGACTGGAAAATAACGGTAAGTTTTGCGACTAAAGACACCCTTCTAGCTAGCTGACCACCGATTTTCATTGCAATTTTTGTAAGTTAAGTTAGGTTTTTAGAGTTTTCAAAAAAGTTATATACATACACATTTTGTGGGACATGCTGTATATTGTAAAATTCGACTGCGCGACAGACCACACCTAATTTAATATCCAACTTTTTACCTCTGAAATATAGCTAACAGATTTTCTAATGTTGCTAGCTTAGTTGCTAAATGTTGATAGAACTGCTAAGTAAGCAAAAAGGAAATAAATTGTAAGCATTAGATAATACATATCACGAAAACAGCTGAATGTTGTCAAGCTTGACCTTTTCAGAATTGGAGTCCTTTGACGGGGGCGTTTTACACAATCTGCAAAAATTAATTTTGAACTTTGAACCATTAACTTTTTGACACTTTGGCTATGTTTAATTTTACAACAGCTACATATAGGCAGTATTTAGTCTGTTACAATGTATGCATCAATATTCAACTAATTGGGACACTAAATTTCATTACAGATAACATTAAACAAAAAACGTGGGTACACTTTCAGTTATTGTGAAAACGTTCATCACTTTTCAATGCCTTAGCTTTGAAATGTAAATGTTTATACATATTCAGATTGAGTTATCTTTCTAAAATGTATATAGTATGCCAAGTTATTTAGCTACATGTATTTACCACCACAGCATGGAGAAAGTCTACACCTGCATTACTAGCTGTTTGGGGTTTTAGGCTGGGTTTCTGTACAGCACTTCGAGATATTAGCTGATGTAAGAAGGGCTATATAAAATAAAATTGATTGATTGATTGAAGAGGAAGCAGTGGAGTGAGGTGGACATGTTCCATGCCATGGAGGACTGCAGGGCAGGGATGGCTATCCGCCAGGCTGCCAAGGTTAGGCATCTTTGGTTTTTAGGAGATTACCACATGTATGTGAATTTTATCTGCTAGTAACAGTTTTATTTTCTTATCTACCAAGGTGCATGGTGTACCTCGGCAGACCCTGGTGGACAGGCTGAGCGGCCGGGTGACCCATGGTTGTCGCAGTGGACCACCCACATTGCTTGAAGATTATCTGGTGCAGTACTGTATCTACTGCGCCAGCCATGGGTTCCCCTTTACTAGACAGAGGCTGATGAAATACGTCAACAAAATACGCAGGTATTTGGTGTTCTATGTGTTTATGTATGTAGAATGCTGTACTGACTGTTCTCAATGTGTGTGATGTAAATGTGGATGTGTAAGGTGATCCCAAAACAAACATTTTCATCCTGGATGGACAATAACATATTGTCTTCTATTGTAGGTTTCGGCACCCAGGGGAAACAATCCAACCACTGGGGAAGAGGTGGTGGGAAATGTTCAGGAGGAGGCACAAGAACCTGAGCATGAGGAGGCCGGACACCCTGGACAGGGGGAGAGCTGAGTGTGCCACACGTCCGATGATGGACACCTTCTTCACTTCTTATGAGAAGCACTTGGAGGAGAGTGGGTTGAGGGAGAAACCCAGACAAATCTATAACTGTGATGAGTCTGGGGACCAAGGAGCTGGCCTGCTTCAACGCAGCTGGGGAGGATGTCCCCCCATTTATCATCTACCCCAAGTGTTTCGCGGTGGCCACTACACACTGGGAGCCCCCCCCCCCCCCCCCAAGCCTTGTATGGACGGTCAAACAGTGGTTACATTGACAGGGACCTGTTCAGCAAGTGGTTTTAGCACTTCATTAAGCATGCAGCGAAGGAGCGCCCTCTCTTTCTCCTCTTCGAAGAGCCACATGGACCCAGAGGTGCTCGCGGCGGCACTAAGGGAAGGGGTTATACTTCTTTGTCTTCCACCACACTGCACCCATGTCCTGCAGCCGCGGGACGTGGCATACTTTGGCCCTTTAAAGAATTTGCCAGAGTATTCCGCTACCCGTACCAGCGCTGCAAGGACATGCGCTATGTGGTGGAAGGGTTTAAGAAGTGTGGCCTCTTCCCACATGGTCCCGTTTAATGCCGTCTCGGTCCCTTCCGGGTCCCACCACCGCCTCTCCTGGAACCAGCAGCACTGTGCCGTCCATCAGCACCTCCTCCCCAGTGACCACAGGAGGACCCTCAGCCCCTGCTCCAGTCCAAGCCCCTGCTCCAGTCCCAGCCCTAGCTCTAGAAGAGCACCCCCTAATAGAGGGGGGGCTGATAGCGAAGGACCTGGGGCACATCCTTACTGTCCTTAAGTATCAGCTAGATCGATACAGAAGACTCCCTGTGGTCGCCACATGCCTCACCGGGGAGGAATTTATAGAATAATTTGGTAATGACTAATTATTACACTCCACTTTATGAAATGTTTTAGAATCCTGAGACTATAATCTAATAATGTGTGTAGGACCAGTAAATATTATGACATTGTGTTACTATTTAGCAATTTGAATAGGAGTTAGACCAGACAACAAAGGACAAGGAGAACTGTCTACAGACAACTGAGAAACCAAGATAAAGAGGCCTCCCAATTTAGGGAGGAGAGAAACCGTTAGGCTTGGAAGAGTGCATGTGTGTTTGTGTGTATGTGTGTGTGTGTGTGACCTGATGGTCAGGAGAGCAGTTTTCCAGTGGAAAACTACAGCCCGCCTAAAGAGGGGTGGGATTGTTCCTCTGACGTGTGTGTATAAAAATATTGTACGACCATTTTGTTTCAGAGCGCTCTCATGAATAAAAATGCTGACTATTGCAGGATTGAGTCTTAGTTTAATTTATTTAAACTAAGAGATTTACAACCTTTTGGGAATTATTCACAGATTTAAGAAGTAGTTGACTTCAACCATTGAGATAACAAAATTCTCGTGACAGCTTGGTCCTTTCGAGCCGGATGTCAATACCCGTCCTCTGTCGTTCCGGGGGACACCAAAAACCGTGCACTGGCGAATGATACATCCGTATAGACAAAGACCTGTCCTCCGAAATTGGAGGTTCAAATACAGGCCGGTGACAACCTGGAAACGACAGAAACGGTGACGATATCCAACCAAAATTGAGCTGCAAAAATAAGGTGAGTAATCTTTATTCATTGGATTTTGGGGGAATTGAACTGTAACCTGCAGTAAGGATTTATGGAGTTTAAATTTGCTGTAGTGAGGTTCCGTCAATAATCCAGAAAGGGATCGACATCCCGGTAGCCCGTTTTTAGACGTTTATCTAGAGAAAACCCAAAGGTGTAAGATCAAAAAAAAAAGGGGGGGGGGGGGGGGGGGGGGGTCCGAAATAGACTCCGGGTAGAGAGGCCATTACCAAACATAAACTAGCCTTGTGTTGAGACAATCAAGGATTGTCAAAAGTATACAAGAAGGGAGTCAACTTTAGCGTTTTTTAGACGTTTATCTAGAGAAAACCACGCGCGAGTATTCTAGATAAATTGATAAATGGGGGTGAAACTTCAAGGGAGGAGAGTGTGATAGTGAGACGGTCTGGGATCGCCAATAAATATAAAGTAAAGGGAATTTAAAATAGTATGTGTGAGAAATAAAATATTTTAAGTCATAAACAACTGTAGATTAGCAGTAACTCTATCCGTTCCATGAAACTGGAGCCGTAATTTGTCTTAGTACAAACTCCAAGTCATGAAACTGGTGCCGTAATTTGTCTAAGTACAATCTCCAAGTTACCAATAGTGTTAACCAATAATCTTCTG